GGGGCACCCGTTGTGTTGTCGGGGGGGGGGGGGTTGGGCCAAGCAGCCCCTTTTCCCCCCCCCCCCCCCGAGATCCATTCACCAGCGCTGAGGCTAGTTTGGCCCGCTACCCAGTTCTCTGAGCTATTCTCTTGTCCTTCCCCCAAATGAGGAGAGCGACCATGGTGCTCATTTACAGAAAACCCTGCCTGCATGGTGGAGATTCGGCTTCCGCTGCCAGCCACTTCATCTGTGTTCTTCCCAGAAGAGAATACAACACCCAGCTATATATAGAAGCCGCTTCCCGAAGGTCTTTGGCACCTCACTTGGGCCACGAAAATAAAACATGCACGAGGGGTAATGCAGATGAGATGCGGGGGGGGCGGGGGGGCTTGTTTCTTGGTGGGGGTGTTCGGCAGGGGGCGGGGAAGAGGTTGGCCCTCCGGGGGAGAGCTGCTCCCAAACGTACCCCTTGATTTTCTCCTATAGGAATGGAAGGGGGGATTCTGTTCCAACTATGGGGAATGCACCTGGGCAAAAAGGTATTACACCCGCGTGGCTCTTTGCTGCTTCGCCGGCTCTCTACAAAACTCCAGACAGGTTTAAGAGGAGGGCAAGGCCGGTGTGTTTATTCCAAGTAACCAGAGTCCTGCCCCGCCCCTCCCCAAGATGGTAAAGGTTTCCCTTGCTCGAAAGCTAGTCAAATCTGACTCTAGGGTTGCGGTGCTCATCTCCGTTTCCAAGCCGAAGAGCCAGCGCTGTCCGAAGACTTTTCTGTGGTCCTGTGGCCGGCATGACTAAACGCCGAGGCACATGGAACGCTGTTACCTTCCCACCGAAGCGGTGCCTGCTTATCTAGTTGCAATTCCTTGCTTTCGGACTGCTAGGTTGGCAGGAGCTGGGGCCAGAGACGGGAGCTCACTCTGTCCCGCGGCACTCGGGTCTCAAACGGCCGAGCTACAGACCTTCTGGTCTGCAGCTCAGCGTCTTAACCTCTGAGCCACCACCAAGATGTTAGAGAGCTGTAATTCGGCCTGCCTGCCTGCATGCTGAGGGTAGAATATTCTGTTCTTCCCCAAAGACCTCTGGTCTTGCCCATACTTGCCCATGGCATGCTAATTACAGCCGCACTCGTGACACAAGTCGCTGGGTCTAAATCTCATTAAGAAGACTGCATGTATTATGGCGCTGTTAAGACTCTCGTGCGTAAAGGGCTCGGTGGGACCCTGCTTGCCTCTTCGGTAAGTCCATTCCTGGCTCTCATCTACCCGCCACTGGTTGTCACACGCCAGTCCTGTATCCTGCACAGCAGTGGAAACAAACCCGCCTTCCCAAATGGCAGCGCTCCAAGAGTTCATGTTGCCCAATGCGTGTCTACAAGTTGGACGTGCTAACAAACCTTCCAGAACAATTAGAAGGGAATTAGATAAGCATATGGAGCAGAGGTCCATCAGTGGCTATTAGCCACAAGGTATAGATAGGGGCTCTGGGGCAAGTGATGCTCTGTCTTCTTGGTGCTTGGGAAGGGGGGCAACAGTGGGAGGGGGCTTCTAGTGTCCGGGCCCCACTGCTGGACCTCCTGAGGGCCCCTGGTATTTCTGGCCCCTGTGTGACACAGAGTGTTGGACTGGATGGGCCTTTGGCCTGATCCAACATTGGCGTCTCTTATGTTCTTCTGTAACAACCCGGTGTCTCCAAAAACACACACCTGCAGTTAGAATTAGGCTTGCACATGAAAAAAAATGTTTGTCAAAGCCAATATTTTTAAATGTGTTTGGCCTCAGGGCCACAGTTTGACACCCCTGAAGCCAGAGAGCAGAAGCTACGCCCAAGCCCAAGGACCTTCTGTTCCCGTAGAGATGCTGATAGAAGTAGGGTACCCACACCCGTACTTCTCTGCCAAGCTTTTCCAAAAGTGGGTAGGGTCATTGTAAGGCAGAGTTTGTTACTGGGTAAGGTAAAGGTTCCCCTTGCTCGAAAGCCAGTCGAATCCGACTCTAGGGATGCGGTGCTCATCTCCGTTTCCAAGCCGAAGAGCCAGCGTTGTCTGAGGACTTCTCCGTGGTCATGTGGCCGGCATGACTAGACGCCGAGGCACGCAGAACACTTGTTACCTTCCCACCAAAGCGGTACCTATTTATCTACTTGCAATTTCTTGCTTTCGAACTGCTAGGTTGGCAGGAGCTGGGGCCAGAGACGGGAGCTCACTCCGTCATGCGGCACTTGGCTCGAACTGCCGAACTACAGACCTTTCAGTCTGCAGTTCAGCGTCTTAACCACTTAAGCCACCGCAGCCCCTTGTTATTGGGAAAAAGTAAAGGTAAAGGTTCCCTTGCTCGAAAGCCAGTCGAGTCCGACTCTAGGGTTGTGGTGCTCATCTCCGTTTCAAAGCCGAAGAGCCAGCGCTGTCCGAAGATGTTTCCGTGGTCATGTGGCCGGCATGACTAAACACCAAGGCACACGGAACGCTGTTACCTTCCCACCAAAGTGGTACCTATTTATTTACTTGCAATTTCTTGCTTTCGAACGGCTAGGTTGGCAGGAGCTGGAACTAGAGACGGGAGCTCACTCCGTCTTGCGGCACCCTGGTCTCGAACTGCTGAACTACTGACCTTCCACAGCCTGCAGTTCAACGTCTTAACCACTTGAGCCACCGCAGCTCCTATAAGAACGTAAGAGAATCCCAAAATAATAGAGTTGGAAGGGACCTCCAGGGTCATCTAGTCCAACCCACTGCATAATGCAGGAAATTCACAAATACACACACACACACACAGTGATCCCTGCTCCATGCCCAGAAGATGGCAAAAAACTTGCAGGATCCCTGGCCAAACTGTCCTGGAGAAAATTGCTTCCTGACCCCAAAGTGGCGATCGGCATTTCCCTGGGTGTGTAAGAAAGAGCTATGAGAACTAAGCACTGAGGCAACCCTCCCTGCCCTCCCTTCTTGTGATCTGCCTCAGTTCACACAATCAGCTTGGCTGTCAGATGGCCATCGAGCCTCTGCTTGAAGACCGCCAGAGGAGGAGAGCCCACCACCTCCCGAGGAAGCCTCTTCCACTGAGGAGCCGCTCTAACTGTCAGGAAGTTCTTAGCCATGCTGGATGACGCCAGTGGCCCATCCAGTCCAACGCTCTGCATCACACAGTGGCCAAAACCCAGGTGCCATCAGGAGGTCCACCAGTGGGGTCAGAACTCCAGAAGCCCTCCCCCCTTTGGCCCCCCAAGCATCAAGAATACAGAGCATCACTGCCCCAGACATAATGTTTCATCTATGGACCTCTGCTTTGTATATCTATCCAGTCCCCTCTTGAAGCTGTCTATGCTTGTAGCTGCCACCACTTCCTGCAGCAGTGAATTCCACGTGCTAATGACTCTTTGGGTGAACAAGTGACAGCTTGCATGTGCGGAAGGAAGCATCTAACAAGGGGCTGAAACCTTTTTAATGCAGCTGCTTCCTACACTCAGTTGCAAGTTTTCAAGTAGGCACGTGACCAAGGCGATCATGTGCAAATCTGTCCCGGAGTGGCAGGTATCGCCTCTTAACACACCGTGTTCAGAGTTACCCCGTTGGAAGCACTCGAAGGCAGCACCCCACTGTCGTGATAATCTCGGTTCTTCGGGGAAATGGACGCAAGTTTGCTTCTCTCCTGGCGGCTCACCGCCAGCTCAAGACCCCGGAGGCAGGTCTTCATGTCCTCTCGGAAGGACGGGGTGTACAGCCCGTAAATGATGGGGTCGGTGCAGGTGTGCAGCAAGCCGAAGAGGAACAGGACATGGTTGATGTATTCCGGCATCTGGCTGATTATGTCGGGCTGGAACCAGTACCACAAGCCCAGGAGGTAGTAAGGGGTCCAGCAGACGATGAAAGACGCCACGATCACAATGGTCATTTTGAGCGTCTTCATGCGGGCCTTGGAGATGTGGTCATCTTTGCCTCTCACGAGACCTACGGAGGAATGACCGAGGAGTAAATGGAATGGGACGTGCAGAATCCCTGACTTCAGTTTTCTCCTAAAGGGACCAATCTATTCGTTTCATTAGTCTCTGTTAACCGTTTTGCTGTTTCCGTTGACTAACAACTATACCCTGCAACTCTCTAAGGCACTACTGGACTCAAATCTAACGGTTCTACTGGTGAGCCACTTTAGTGTTGTGGTTAGGAGCGTGGACTCTAATCTGGGAGAAACGGGTTCGATTCCCCATTTCTCCATATGCAGCTGCTGGTGTGGCCTTGGGTCAGTCACAAGTTCTCTCAGAGCTGTTCTCTCAAGGACAATCCTCGGGAGAGCTCTCTCAGCTCCACCTACCTCACAGAGTGTCTGTTGTGGGGAGGGGAAGAGAAAGGGATTGTAAATCGCTGAGACTCCTTCGGGTAGTGAAAGGCAGGGTATAAATCCAATCTCCCTTCCTTCCTTCCTTCCTTCCTTCCTTCCTTCCTTCCTTCCTTCCTTCCTTCCTTCCTTCCTTCCTTCCTTCCTTCCTTTTCTTCCCCCTTCCTTCCTTCCTTCCTTCCTTCCTTCCACAGACCAGAGCAGCTACCCTTTGAAACTATTGACTAATACTTAGTAAACAGAGCCAGTGGGGTATAGTGGTTAGTGTGTTAGACTAGGATTTGGAAGACCCAGGTTCAAATCCCTGCTCTGCCCTGGAAGACCGCGCCTTGGGCTAGTCCCTTTTCCCCAGCCGAACCTACTTATCAGGGTTGTGTTAAGGCTAAAATGGAAGAGAGGAGAACAGAGTAAGCTGCTTTGGGTCTCTATCGGGGAGAAAGAAGGTATAAATGAAGTAGATCAATACATATTTTAACAGTATGCTGTTTTAAGGAACGTGGGAATAGGTAGAAAAGAGCAAGAGTCCACGAGCACCTTAGAGACTAAGTAAATCTGTGGCCGATCCAGGTAGTTAGCCGCTTTGGTCTGAAGCAGAAGAACAAATTTAGAGTCCGGGCTTTAAGACCAACAAAGGCTTATTCAAGGTATGAGCTTTTGTGTGCGTGCACACTTTTTCAAATACAATGGAATGGGAGGTAAGGTTCAGCCTGTCTATAAGTTTGAGCTCTACCTCCCATTCCGATGTATCTGAAGAAGTGTGCACGCACACAAAAGCTCATACCTTGAATAAACCTTTGTTGGTCTTAAAGTTGCCCCCCCCCGGACTCTAAATTTGTTCTAAATTTGTGGCAGGGTAGGAACGTTTAAACTATGGTGCTGGAGAAGACTCTTGAGAGTCCCTTGGACTGCAAGGAGATCAAATCAGTCCATCCTAAAAGTAATCAACCCTGACTGTTCCCTGGAAGGCCAGATAATGAAACTGAAGCTCAAATACTTTGGCCACCCAATGAGAAGGGAGCACTCACTGGAGAAGACCCTGATGCTGGAAAAGACAGCAAAGGATGAGATGGTTAGACAGTGTCATAGATGCAACGAACATGAAGTTGAGCCAACTTCAGAGGACGGCGGAAGACTGGAAGGCCTGGTGTGATCTGGTCCATGGGGTCGTGGAGAGTCGGACTCGACTGTGCGACTGAACAACAACAAAAAGGAACTTTCGTGAGTCACTGCTCACTTCTTCAGATACGAATGGGTCACAGGGTTAACATGCATACTATTGATTTCCTCTCTCCACCTTGAATATTCTGCATCGCCTTAATGATAAATAGCAAAATGGGGGGGGTGGGGGGTGAGAGAGGTACAGAGAGCCATGAAAATCCTGGTGGCTCAGTGGCAGCGCAGACTCCCACCTAATGGGCTGTGGAATTATGGACTAACTGACACTTGTGGCCAGTCTTCTAGGGCAGTCCCAGAAACGGAGCAGTGCAGTAGTCTGACCGGGCAGTCACCGAGGCTAGGTCTCCGTGCTCCAGGAGTAGGCACAAGTGGCAGAAAGAACGGCTTTTATAGAGGGTTCCCCAAAACAAAGTGGGGGTCTAAGATTCCAGTTGAGACCTGATATTCCAGGGAGAGGGCTGTTCTGTCCAGAACAGTCATTTCCCCCCCACCATTTTTATCTCACCTGGACTGAATGTAAAGGTCATGATAGGAAGGAACGCGGTTATTAGGGCGATGAAATGATGCCTGCGCTGGATATGATACCCACCATTGCGTATCTCCTGTAAAATGCAGTAACGCGTGCACAAAATCAGTTTGGAGCACAAGAGGGAAATGTGTTAATCTCTAACGGACTCCCCCCCCCCCCCCATGTCTCTCTTAAACAAGGGGTAGCAGAGACTCGTCAGACAGAAGATATTTTCAGTATCGAGACTTCTGCAGTTCAAGGGGCTGATCTCGATTCTCTTTGAAGTCTTTTCTAACTCAATATTTGAGTCCAGTGGCACCTTTAAAGCTGACAAAGCTTAATTTGGGGTGTAAAGCTCGTACCCAGAATTAAACTCGGTCTTAAAGGTGCCACTGGACTCAAACTTTGTTCTATTGCTTCAGACGAACACAGTGACTCACCTGGATCTAATTTAGGGTTGCCAAATTTTACTTGTCGCTGCAGCGGGGGACTCCTGGCTTGCTCCTGGAGTGTGCATCCCCCCCCAGAACCACGTCACCCAGACCACGCCGGGCACTCTGGGGGCGGGGCCACGACCATCCGAGGGAAAACCATAGAGTTTTCCCTCGGATGACCATGGCCCCGCCCCCAGCGTGCCCGGCATGGTCGCGTCACTTCCGGGTGACGTACACGTTGCGTACTTTGGGGGTGGGGTTCCCCCTGGGGCCCGATCTGCCGGCAGCGGGGAACGGGCCTCTGGGGCGGGGGTTTCCCTGCCCCCCGGGGGGACTTAGCAAGCCTAATCTAATTCAATGTGTTCATTTGATTTATTGGATTAGGTATTTATAGGCTGCGCACACACACTTTCAATCCAATTTCCAACTGGCAATATCCAATTCAAAAGTGCATTTAAAGTGGATTATTTAGGCCCATTCTGCATCTAGCATTTGCTCCACTGTTTTACCAAACCCACACTGGAACGGAAGAAGATGTGGCTCAAAATTACACTCAGGGGGCCGACGCCATACTGACTGCAGGGTCATCCCTGAACGGCCATGAAACGGCCGTAAATCTATGCAGACGGCCACCATAAAACCGAGAGATCAAAAGAAGTGAAAATGGCATGAAAACTGGACACTGCCATAAAATCCGACAATCATCGAGAAAGTGGCATGCAATGCAGAGGGGAATTTCTGTTCCAGCCTGGGTTTGGTCAAACAGCAGAGCAAATGCTCGATACAGATTGTGCAAATATCCAATTCGAAAGTGCATTGAAAGTGGATTATTTCGTGTGTCTGATCGCAGCCTAATAAGTGCTTTTCTTCCCAACGGGGACCCACACCAGCTTACAGCAATAAGGAAAGCCTCCATATATAGAGGCAACAAACCTCTAAATACCAGTGATAAGAGGCAGCATCAGGGAAGGTCCTGGCCTCCGTGCTGCGTTTGTTTGGCCCTCCAGGAAAACTGGTTGGATTCTGTGTAAAACAGGATGCTGGACTAGATGGGCTACTGATCTGATCCAGCAGGTCTCTACTTAACGTTCTTCTCATTCTCCCCCGTTTTTTCCTCACAACGAACCTGTGAGGTAGGTTAGCCCAAGTTCACCCAGTGAGCTTCCACAGCTGAGTAAGGATTCGAACTCAAGTCTCCCAGCTCCTAGTCTGACACTAAGCGCTACACCACACTGTCTTTTTTGTCCAAACAACAAGTATAAAGAAAACAGTCATGTCTGACCCACAAATCAAGAAGAAGAGAAGAGATTGGATTTATACCCCGCCCTTCACTACCAAAAGGTGTCTCAGAGTGGCTTACAAACTCCTTTCCCTTCCCCTCCCCACAACAGACACCCTAGGAGGTAGGTGGGGCTGAGAGAGCTCTGACAGAAACTGCTTTTTTTTCAAGGACAGCTCTTGTCAGAACTGTGGCTTGCCCAAGGTCATCCAGCAGCTGCAAGTGGAGGAGTGGGGAATCAAACCCGGTTCTCCCAGATTAGAGTCTGCGCACTTAACCACTACACCAAACTACACCAAGACTTGCAAAGAAAATGCTTACTATGTATTTCAGTCTGAAGCACTACAACACAATAAATCAATTCCTACAAATCATAAGAAAATCCTAGTGCAAAGGTACATCATCAACGTAGTCTCCGGATTACATAACAATGTTTCAAAATTGGATCTTCCTCTGGAAATGTTAGAGTGGTACAAAAATTCTCTTGTTCATAACGGGCTTTACAAGAAGTCATGAAAGCTAATACATTCAGATAGGACGCTGATCTCAGTAAATGTTCAGGCTCAACCAGGGGTCTTGTTGTAGAAAAAGAGCTGCCGGAGCTCATTAGCATAACTCATTAGCATAACTTATTTGCATATGCCACGCCCCCTGACATCACCGGAAGTGACAGAAGGCCACACCCCCTGACATCACCGGAAGTGTGTCAGAAGGCCCGGCTACTTACCCTCCTGCTTCATCCTCATTCCCAAACGGAATGAGGATCGAAGCAGAGGGCGGGGTAAAGAAGGGGGCGGGGCTTCACCACGTGACCACCCCGCCCCCTAGAGGTTCTCTTCCGGAGCTCCGTACCTGAGACCTGGCACCCACAAAAAGCCCATTGCAGGTTTATGCTGCTAAGCTTCTAGTGGATCCTACATTTTTGTAGGCCGCACCACCCGAAGGTGCCAAAGCGACACAGCCGAACGGCGCCCGGCTCACTCCCGACTCCAGAAGAAGTCTGGTGGGCTCACCTTGGTTTATTTTCAGCTGCTTGCTGATCTCAAACAAGATGCGGACGTAGCAAATGATCATCACGCTCAGCGGGGTGACGTAGAGGGTCGTGAAGGTGAACATGTTGTAGGTGGTCTCCTGCCAGTGTTCCCGGAAGCTTCCGTGGGTCACGCATTGGGTGAAGTTGACTCCTGGGATGGTGTGAAGGTGGAAGATGAAGAGCTGAAACAAACCCGGGGGGAGGGAAGGAGCTGAGATGTCCGTGGTCACCACCTGAGAGTGGGGACTCGAACCTGGGTCTGCCAGATACTGACACTCTAACTTACAGGTCCCCTTTGGTTGCCATGGCACCCACCAGCACCTTTCCTGGCACCCACAAAATGTTTTTAGAAAGGGGGGGAGTGCTTTTGTCCAGCAAGGCTTCAGATTGGCCATTGCAGGTTCGAGCGGCTGTACGGATTTTTAAAAAATGTTTCTTTGACAGCAGCTGCCGCCGCAGCACGTGGATCGTCACTGTGTGACAGAAGGTAAGCCACTTGGCAGCCATTTTGTGGCAGCCATTTTGTGGCTGCACCCACGACTCTGTGTCGGAATTCCAAAGGGGCCTGCAAGATCAAAAGGCCTGAAGACTCCTGCTCGAAACACTACACAGTTGTAGGGTAGCTAGGTCTTGCCTTTCCCATGGCGGGGGGCTCCTGGCCCTTGCAATGTTTCTGTCCTGTGCACGGCGCGATATTGTCACCGGAAGTGACGTCATCACGATGTCGCGTGGCAACGCTCTAGCGTTCAGGGCAAAAACTCTATGGCAACCACAGAGCTCCCCCCTGAATGCTAGAGTGTCGTCACGCAGCGGTCCCAGTGTGATGATTTCACTACCAGTGATGTCACTATTTATTTATTTATTCAATTAGATTTACTAGGCCGACCTTCCCTACTAGGGTTGCCAAGTGTTACCTTCCTCCGCAGCGGGGGACTCCCGGGCCGATCCCGGAGTGCGCGCGTGCGCCACATCCACATCACCAGGAAGTGACATGACGCCGCCGGGCACGCTGGGGGTGGGGCCACGACCATCCGAGGGAAAACCATAGAGTTTTCCCTCGGATGACCGTGGCCCCGCCCCCAGCGTGCCCGGCATCGTCACGTCACTTCCTGGTGACGTGCACATCGGGGCCAAGTTCCCCCCGGGGCGCGATCCGGCAGCGGCGGGGAACGGGCCTCTGGGGCAGGGGTTTCCCTGCCCCCCGGGGGGACTTGGCAAGCCTATTCCCTACAAGTAGGGCTCAGGGCAGCTTACAACACAATAACATACAATAAGTAATCTAAATTAAAGCCGACATTAAAACTATCTAAAAAACAGATCAATAAATAAGAGAATATACATTCCAGATGGTGCGGGGAAAATTCAGCTCCCCGGCGTTGGGGGGGGAAGGGTTACAAGGGATGGGAAGAGTAGGGTAGGACGGGATATAAACCCAAAAACAAACTTAAAAAATAAATAAAATAAAAAATAAATGAGAGGGCCAGCTGTCATGCTATCCCATTGCTGTTCTCAACTGAATGCCCAGCGGAACGTCTCGGCCTTGCATGCCCTGCGGAAAGATAGTAACTCCCTCAGGGCACAGAAGTTTTCCAGCAGAGACTTCCACCAGGTGGGGGCCAGGGGCGAAAAACCCCTGGCCCTGGTTGAGGATAGCCGGACCTCTGTTGGACTGGGGACCACCAGGAGGCATTGTGTCGGCAGCATCCCCATGGGATGCTGCTGTTTGGGGGTGGGTGTCAGGTAGCCCTGTCATCGTCCTGGAATGAGGAGGGGTGCCCTCCCTTCTCTGTCTCAGCTCTCTCTGCCTCGCCAACTGTTTGCTATGCTTGACCTTGTAGATGCTCCAGCTGCAGTTTACTCGGCTGGGAAAGTTAACGGCTTTTTTGCTTTGCCTGCGCGCGAGAGATGTATCCATTGGCTCATGCTTACATGGGGGGGGGGGTCTGTTTGATTCTAGTATAAGCCAAAAGCCCTAGTACCGATGGCCATTCCTGACACAAACTGTACACGTGTTCTTTAGTACTGGACTCATCAATAAACAGTTATCTTCTTATGAAGCCCTGTGTGGTGTGACCTGACTAAGGTCCCTGACAGTGGGATCCCCTGCCCCGACTGGGGGGGACAGAAACCCCAAGTCAGGCCTGCCATTTGCCCCCCTGGTTTACTGGATTCTTACCTGGGGAGAGGCCAGCAGGACGCTTAGTGTCCACGCGACACTGAGCATGATGCGGTTCCGGTGGCTGGAATTAGCGAACGAGAAGGGGTGCAGGATGGCGGCATGGCGGTCTAAGCTGATCACCACCAACACCAGGGCGGCCGCATACATGGCAAAGAGCTTGAGGAAATTCAAGATTTTGCACAGGCCGTCCCCCGCGTACCACTGAACGGTAACGTTCCACACGGCGTCCAAGGGCATGACGGCCACGGTGACCAGCAAGTCTGCCACGGTCAAGCTCAGTATGAGCACCTGGACGTGGGATTTGCGCCGCTTCCGCACGACACTGGCGAAGACGATGGCGTTGCTGCATGTCGCGAACACGAAGAAGCAGCTGGTGACCACCACCCGGACCTTGGCGGCGAGTGTGAACGTCGGTTCGGCCCAGGCCTTCGGACAGGCAGAAACAGAACTGTTCTCATCCACGACGTTGCATCTGTGTGGAGGATTCATCAGGGGTTCTCCTTCAGTCATTACCTGGAGAAAACCAAAGGCAGGTTTTTATCTTTTTTAAGGAAAGGGAATCCTGATTTTGGTGGTGGTTCAAAGACCAGTCTTGGCTGAAGTCGAAAGAAATGCTTGTGGGTTAAATAGAGTTCAGGGCCTCATCTTGAACAACTTCTATCTAATTAAACTTTCCAGGGTCCAGCCCAGCCCAATCTCATCAGATCTTGGAAGTCCAGGGCTTGCACTGAGGAACTGTTTCCTTTTGTCTGTCCTGAACCTACTGCCCATCAGCTTAATTGGATGCCCTCGATTTCTGCTATTTTGGGAGAGGGAGAAAAAAAATTCTCTTTGCTCTCCCCATCTCCAGTTATCCTCACAACAACCCTGTGAAGTAGGTCAGTCAAAGGAAGACTGGTCCAAGGTAACCCAGCAAGTTTCCATGACAGAATGGGTATTTGAATCTGGGTCCTAAGCTAATACCCTGACCCAGGGCTATTTTTGGGCAGGAACGCACAGGAACGGAGTTCCGGCTGGCTCCCGAGTTGGCCACGCCCAGCAGGGACTCATTAGCATAATAGGCCACACCCAACAGCAGGGACTCATTAGGATTGGCTACATTAGGGTTGTGTGGCCTAACATGCAAAGGAGTTCCTGGTACAAAAAAAAGCCCTGGGTTTTGACAACAAACAAGGTAAAAAGAATGAGAAGCAAAAGGTGGGTGTGGCTGGATGACCACATTTCTGGTAACATGGAGGTGTGGCCTAATGTGCTAATGAGCTGTGTTGTCAGGGGTGTGGCCCAATATGCTAATGAGTTCCTGCTGGGCTTTTTCTACAAAAAGAGCCCTGCGGCCTGACCACTACACAGCGCTGCCCCCCGGCACAGCTGACAGAACAATCCCGGCCTGTGACAAAGTGCATTTTGTTCTGTGGTGGGAGAAACCTGGAGGCCATTTGGCAAACGAGAGATAAAACCTCCATAGCTCTGGATTCAGCAAGAAATTTAAATGTAAGGGAATTTTGTTAGTTAGAGACCCCGATGTTGAAACCTGGAGGCCATTTGGCAAACGAGAGATAAAACCTCCATAGCTCTGGATTCAGCAAGAAATTTAAATGTAAGGGAATTTTGTTAGTTAGAGACCCCGATGTTCCCACTCTAATCTGGGCACTAATATCTGTGTGTAGTTCACGTAATAAGAATAACAACCGCTTATCAATATTCAGATCTGCCAATTTTTGCCAAAGGCTATTCCTATCGATGGAATCAAACGCCGCAGCCAAGTCTACAAATGTTACGTATAAAGACTTAGTGGACTTTATGCGGATGATATGGCCCTAATATCACTTACAAAAATCGGGATGAGAAGATTATTGCAGCAATTGGGAATGTACTGTAAGGAAGAGACCCTTAACATTAACTTTGATAAAACCAAAGTGATGGTCTTTAGAAAAAGAGCTCAAATTTCCTCCTGGAGCATTCTTGGCAATTCAATAAATCAGAGTAGTACCTTTAAGTATTTAGGGATTACATTTAGAGAGAATCTGAACTGGAACGCTCATATAGCCATAGTAAAAGCATCTGCGACGAGGATTGTGGGATCCATTTTGAAGTTCTATTATACCAAGGGAGGTTTTCTTATTGATCCTGTTATAAAATTATTTAAAAGTAAGGTCATTCCCCACCTCTTGTATGGGGCCGAGGTTTGGGGTTGGAAAGAGGATATACTCACTAGTATTGAAACAATCCAAAATCAGTTTTTAAGGCGCATCCTGGCTCTTCCTAAGGGAACACCAGTTGCCCTGATGAGAGCAGAAACTGGTCTGCCTTCTCTAAGGGCGAGGGTGTATCTTGCGATTCTAAAATCTTGGAAGAAAATCAGAGCTGCTAGCACTGATTCGTTCAGCCAACTGGCCTTTAATTCAATGCTATCTAAAGACTTAGATCGTTCTTGCTTCCTCAATAACCTACTACTAAGATATTCCATTCCTGACGACCTCCTTAGCTCCTCAACAAATAACTTAGATCTCAGAGAATGGGTATTTAAGCATGATGCTCTGCTAGATAGACACTTCATTTTAAAAACACAGTCTGCTACCTGGTTTAAATCATTTAAGAATGATCATTTTAGATCACCTTATCTGGTTAATATAGATAATCATAACCTTAGAGCAGCTTTTACATCTTTGCGCTTTGAATCAATGCCTACGGCCGTGTTGGTCGGCCGTTACAACAGAACACCCAAGGCACAGCGTTTATGTATTTGTGGCTCTTCTGCTGTTGAGGATCTCTCCCATTACATTTTTAATTGCTCATTGTACTCCCAGCCTAGGTCAAAATTTTTATCTGGTATTTTATCAGTTTTAAGCTTTTATTCAGTCTCAGAGAAGATTATATTTTTGCTAGCCGATGCCAATGCTGATGTATCCCATAGAATGGCTTTATTTGCCTTGGCTGCAAGGAAAATACGGGCCAACGCTGCTCCTAGCTAATACTGATTTTAGTGGGTATGTTGTGAATTAATTAACTGTTCATAACCTCGGTTTTAACTGTTCATAACCTCGGTTTTAACTGTTCATAACCTCGGTTTTATGGATTTATAATGTTGGACTGTATCTTATTTTATACAATTTTTGTGTTTTATTGTGCTCTTCTCTGTCTGTGGTTTGTAATGGCCTATGGCTAAATACAATAAAATCTTCTCTCTCTCTAAATGTAAGGGTATGTTCGAGGGTTTGTTATTTTTAAAAAATATATCACCGGTTTTGGCTTTCCTTCTGCTCAGAATGATTTCATCATCACATAACCGTTCACAGATGGGAATAACAGGTGTGTGTGGGTGGACACACGCACATATACAACACATGCGTGCACAAACACATCATTCTTGCGTACAAAGTAGATCCTGAAGTTAGGTGCCCCAATTCAAAAGAGCAGGTTCCACAGTAGCAGCTGATGCAATGGTGAGAGGCAGTGTGGTATAGTAATTAGGAGACCTGGGTTTGAATCCCGACTCTGCCATGGAAGCTTGCTGGGTGACCTTAGGCCTGTCTGTCTGTCTGTCTGTCTGTCTGTCTGTCTCTCTCTCTCTCTCTCACACACACACACACACGACCTTCCTTACAGAGTTATGACAATAAAATGGAAGAGAGGAGAATAATGTATGGTGTTTTGGGTCCCCATTGGGCAGAAAAGCAGGGTATAAGTAAATATGAATAAAACAATTAAAAGTGCATGGCAGGACTCTTCACGTCCCCTCTGACCTCAAGGGGAACATCAGAAATTGGGAATCATTGCAGATCCATGCCCCAAAGTTCAACTAAAACTGGAACAGAACCTATAGTGAGTCCCAGTGTTATGTAGGGGTTGTTATGTTGGACTGGGAGCTAGGTTCGAATCCCCACGTTACCGTGGAAGCTCACTGGATGACCTTGGGCCCCACTGCTGGACCTCCTGAGGGCACCTGGTATCTTTGACCACTGTGTGACACAGAGTGTTGGACTGGATGAGCCTTTGGCCTGATCCAGCATTGGCTTTTCTCTTATGTTCTTATAGGAACTCTCAGTCTGGGGCAAGGGATGCTCTGTCTTCTTGGTGCTTTTTTTTTGGGGGGGGGGGCAACAGTGGGAGGGCTCCTAGTGTCCTGGCCCCACTGGTGGACCTCCTGATGGCACCTGGTATTTTTGGCCACTGTGTGACAGAGTGTTGGACTGGATGGGCCATTGGCCTGATCCAGCATTGGCTTCTCTTCTGTTCTTATAGGAACTCTCAGTCTGGGGCAAGGGATGCTCTGTCTTCTTGGTGCTTGGGGGGGGCAACAGTGGGAGGGCTCCTAGTGTCCTGGCCCCACTGCTGGACCTCCTGAGGGCACCTGGTATTTTTGGCCACTGTGTGACCCAGAGTGTTGGACTGGATGGGCCACTGGCCTGATCCAACATTGGCTTCTCTTAGGTTCTTATAGGAACTCTCGGTCTGTATTCTTGGTTCTTTGGGGGGGGGGCAACAGTGGGAGGGCTTCTAGTGTCCTGGCCCCACTGCTGGACTTCCTGATGGCCCCTGGTATTTTTGGCCACTGTGTGACCCAGAGTGTTGGACTGGATGGGCCACTGGCCTGATCCAACATTGGCTTCTCTTATGTTCTTATGTTCACATACTCTCAGCCTGACCTACCTCACAGGGCTCTTGTGAGGCTTAAATGGAGGAGAGGAGAATGATGTAAAGCCGCTTTGGGACAAAGGTGGGGTGTAAATGAAGTAAAATAAATAGTCCAAATCCACTGAACCGCAGGTGGGTCTCCACAATGGGATTTTCTGCCTCCTTAACTCACTCTCATTAGCCACGAAGCTTTCAATTTCAGGGGAACTTCCAAAACGGCATACAGTGTGCAGCCAGGGCCTGAAATTTGGTGTAAACAAACAACCTTTATTGGCATAAGGTAAAGGTAAGGGTTCCCTTGCTCAAAAGCCAGTTGAGTCCGACGCTAGGGTTGCGGTGCTCATCTCCATTTCCAAGCCGAAGAGCCAGCACTGTCCGAAGACGTTTCCGTGGTCATGTGGCCGGCATGACTAAACACCAAGGCACACGGAACGCTGTTACCTTCCCACCGAAGTGGTACCTATTTATCTACTTGCAATTTCTTGCTTTCGAACTGCTAGGTTGGCAGGAGCTGGAACTAGAGACGGGAGCTCACTCCGTCATGCGGCAACTTGGGTCT